CTTGCCCTTTTCTTGGCCAAATTAGTGTTTGCAAAACTGAAACAGAGTTCCTATTGCCAAGTCAACTAAATTAGTCATGACCCTACCGGACGAGAGAACACGCTAGATCTCAAGTTTGCGGCTCGAGCGAGAATTGGAACGGCTCTTGAATCAAGTCGCTGGTTGCATGCCCCGGGTGCGCGGCCATATGCGTGGTTTTAGCGGCAAAAATGTTGCCTGTCAAATTTCCAACTGACGCAACATTGTCGGGGATGTATGTGGGTTCATGTTCGCTCGCTTGACGCCAGCAAGTATCGGCCTCGCCGGACCCAGCCCGCGGGGAATTCGACGTGCTCTAGTTCGGGCCCCGCCTGCGCCCGCGTGAAGCCCCCAGCCGCCAGCAGTGTAAAAAGCAGAACTTTTCAGGTGCCAGCCGCGCCGTGGGGACTATTTGCGTTGAGCTAGCCGCGCCGGGATATTAGTCGGGCCGAGTGCGAACGCGGGAAATTCGACGCGTTCTAGTTTGGGGCCCGCCCGCGCCCCCCGGCGCCTGAATAAAGCCCCCAGCCGCCGACCCAGAATTATCGGGGACGTCGTGGGTTCCCTCAGGGCCTGGGGTCCCGTTCGACGCAAGGGGGGTCCTGCCGCCGGCGGCGGCCGCGGGGCCGCGGGGCCTCAGGGGCAGCACGAGTATGTTCTGTGACATGCCACGTACGTCGGAGCTCTTACGTACACCCTAAGGGCCTCCGTAGGTCTTAGGTAATTCCGGTAATGCTCGGCCCTAGGAACTCCACTCAGCCTAAGATTGTAAATTTAAGGTAATCTCGGCGAGCTCTTGAGATCCAGCTAAAAAAATACTAAGTAACATCCCTAGTCCGGGGGTCGGGCGACCGGCTAGAGTTCACTGGGCATGGTTTTCTGGTAATCTCGACGGTAATGGAAGCCCAACCGGGCGGCGGGAGGGTTATAAGGTTGGTCGCGGAAGGGCTCGACCCCATCTCCCTGCCAGGCCTTGAATTCGTCAGCCCTGATCAGCTTTTGGGCGCTGTATCTAGATCCATTGGGCTCAGTCAGTGCCCCGATCAACGTACATCTAGGTGCACCCATAGGAAATTAATTAATAAAGATCAATCATCGAATTCCGGCCGGCGGAGCCAGAGTCATTAGTCGTCCATAGAGGCTGTACGTCGACCGCGCGCGCGGGCGCGGTGTCGCGGCGGTCCGCGGGCTGAAATCACGGCCAAAATTGGGTTATGGTCGTATCAAAGCAAGTTTGATGATATTCGCGCGTTAATTGCACGTTTGCGATGGCTTTTTGCGCGCGGTCGCTGGTTCGGGTCGCGAAATCGCAAGATTTAACTTCAACAAAAGTGCTGAAGTTCAACAAAAATGTTGACTTTTAAATCCAGGCTATCAGAATCTGAGTTTTGATCGGTGCACTGGGCTCAGTAACGCGCAGCTCGCACTGTGGGACGCCGTCCAGGGGGCCTATGTGGCTTTGGAGGAGTGGTCAGGGAGGCTCCCCGACACTGTCGATGTCAAAATAATCTCAGGTTCATTCTCGTCGTCGTGGTCCTCGGTTTCAAACGCCCGATTGTCGGAGCACCGGGATAAGCCGGGGACCCTATGCAGCTACTGGTAGGACTCTGTGGTCGCCGGATCGTGTCCAATGGACGCCATTCCTA